TCTTTCTACAGCAATTTAAGACAAATTTAACTTTTGAGTACATATTTGGTATTACTGTATGTAGCACTGTTAGCTGACAGAAGTTATCTGTAACTGGAGAGCACTTCATAATTCCCTCTTCAGTTCTAAGATAAAGCTATCTAACCAGCCAGGAAGAACTGGCAGGTTATGCCAACCTGCCAGCAGGTTTGTGAATTAATCAATCGATCCCGACCGACAGTTTCAATATAAGCTTAACAGCACAGGAAGTGTTTATCCCTACCCTGCTAAGAAGTTCCAGATACACGCTGGCAAGAACCACTACTACTTGAACAGGCAGGAGGCAGTCTCACACATTTTGTTCACAGCTGAAGACCAGAATCCTGCGTTTTTTTCTCTTTAGAAACAGTGAGGTACTCTTCTTCATGCCCATCTTTGGATAAGGAACAAAGCTGATGCCTAATAAAGAGCAACCCATAGCCTGGGGAGCTTCTAGTTTGCTATCTGTCTTGTCACTAAGTACATGCTTTTTTGTTTTCTACAAACCTGAGTGGTCTTCTCCAACTGTAGCTTAAGATCTGTAAGTTCCATGTTGGTATCATGTAACTGTGCTTTCAGTTTTTCATTTTCAGCTAGAATCTGTTCATAAAGCTAAGAGAGAATATTAATTTTAAAAAAATACTTAATAATAATACAGTGAGATTAGCAGAAAAAATTAAAAACCATGATTGATCTGTATGTAAAACAAACATAAATTAATGGTCTTAGAAGTAAAAATCAGTTACAGATTTTAATGATGTTTAGAATTAGCAATCACTTTAAAGAACTGTTACCAAATATTTCTAGAAACAAGCAACTTTGCATAGGGAGCACATAACTTACCTTACACATATTAAAAAAAATACTTGCCACTTTTTTGGCTTCAGACTTCCCAGATTAGACACCATAGTAAACTTTTCAATAAACTCCTCTTCTATTTTAAAGCAAGATCTAAACAAATTTTTACATTACATGTATGTAAGCTAGCAAACATAAAATAAAAAGCTTCACGAATCTATAAACCAGTTTTAAAAAAAAAAAAAAAAAATTATAGTATTTGTCATGAAAAATGGATCTTGGCTCCTCTGGATTTCTCCCTTGCCTTGAAGAGAAACATGCAAAAGCCAGCAGCACTGTTTTGTAACGCACATTTTCCCCCACTGTAGTAGTTGCTCTGCTCCTCCATTCCGCTGCGTTGCTTTGAGCAGCATTTCTGATGCAACGTGAGATTATTTCCAGACAATTTATGAAAAACAGTAAAAAAGTTCTATTATCGCGCCACAATTATTGCATCAGGTACCTTCTTAAAATCAGTGCTATCTTCTTTTTCTAGTCTACTGCAGTATGGTTTTCGATCTTCAAGGTAACTCTGTGACCCTGATCGCCCCTGCGCTGAATCGTAACGATCACCTGAAGACGTGCTGAGGGATCCTGTATCATACCTGCAAAAAGCAAAGTTCATATTTTTCTTTGCCTTTCCATTCAAGCTGAGACCACTCACTGTATCAAGTGTTGTTTGCTGTCACCCAGCTGAAAACAATGAAATGCAATTATGTATTGTAGTTAAGCCACTGTCTTCTAATTTGATTAAAATCTAATTTTTTACATTCCCTCAGTACTTCAGATACTATGTAAAAAAGTTTTCAAATTGCTCAGTCTGCTGAATTAACTGCCTGCCTTGTATGCAGAGAAATCTTTTAAATTATATTAAAATATTTAAGTCAAGCAAATATTTACATGTCTTAAATGATTTTATATTAGCTTAGATACTTTAATTTTTCTTTATTTATTAAGAAGACCTATTTTTAAAAACATGTATTACTTTAATTGAAGGGTTTTAAAAAGTACTCTCTAAAACATCAGCCTAGATTAATTCTCCCAAGTTTTATTAGAGAAACCCAGGAGATTTCAAAACTATTTGTTGTGAAATCCAGTATTGTAACAGAAGTTTATGAAACAAATCTTCAGCAAAGTATTTATCTTATTACTCATGAAATTATAACGAGTATTAATAAAGTTCAGAATAATTTCACACTGCTCACTCTTCACTGATCATGTGTTGCAGTAGTTCTATTTAACAGCTTTTCAGCACAGATAGAACATAATAAAATCCAATAATTAATTCTAAAGGTCTAAAAACAAATGAAAACTTTTTTAAAAAATTTATATTGCTGCATTTAATTTTTAACAAATCTTAAGGAAATCCGATTTGCAGAGGCTGTGGTGCATTTCTTGAGATTCCTTAGAAAATTTTCAGTAGGGTTTTCTAAAAGAGGGGCAACAAGAACCTCTTGTCTTCTTTGTAAAAGCTGACTTCATATTGAAAAAAGTGTAGGAAATGGTACTGTATCCACTGTGTTACAAAATTCCCAGCCTGTCTTTAGTTCACTACAAATACAGAGTCCAATATATTTCCCAGAATGGTGTATCCCACCCACACATGGAAAAAAATATTCGGTACTGTATTTCATGCAAATGTTTAATATAATTAACACATTTTAAAGCTAAGCTGAATTTGTACATAACAAACTTAAAATGAGAATATGTGAACAAAAAGTATAACAATTTAAAATTAATTTGTTTAAACTGCACATACCTTGAAAGGCTATCGCTCTGAGGTTGGGAGGGGTAGATGGAGAGAAAAAGAATAGATCAAGTCAATAATTTCATTAAATAAAATATATAACAATGTGTGAACAAGTATAGCTAAACAATTATGTTAAATGCACACGATGTCCAACAGTATGTATTATCTGAACATTGTCAAGCTTCAATTTTGTTATGTCTGGGACAGAAAAGAAGTATGTGCTAGAATGTGCCTACCAAAATATGATTTACAGGGATGTTAACATTACACTCTAAAAGTCTGGACTGTCCTAAACACTGGAGTCTTTTCAGCAGCCGGTGCATTCTGCAATTTGCCTGCCTGTTATTAAAGGCATCAGAACTGTGTTCCCTGAACTCCCTATTCCTTCTTCCTCTTCTCCAACACTAGCAATAATGCTTTGAAAGTCAACATAATAATTACTTCAGCTCAAAATAATAATATAAAATAAGCTACAAGATCATTGTTTCAACACAGCTCGATGGGAAACAAGCTACTACACCACCAACATAAGGAAGTACTTAATAGAGTTAATTTAAATGACAATTTCATTTTTAATATTACTCTCATTCATTCATTCCAGGTGAATCCACAGGCACAAAGTTCACTCACTTTACTTGACAAGTGAAATTTAATTAGAAGTGATGAGTTAAGAGTGAGGGAGTGCCCTCTAAGCATTACATCTGTCAATCAAACCTTTTTCCCCTCTGGGTGGTCAATACAGATTCATAATTCATTCCAATTATAATAATCTTGAGTGAAGACATTTCAGTCAAGGAACTCTACTGACGTATCTCTGTGGTGGTGTGGTTTGTTTGGTTTGCTTTTTTAGAATGAAACTGTATTTTTTCAACTTGCATAGAGGAAAATAGCCATGTTCTCCACAATACACTCAATTTCCCCCTGACACCTTGAAGAGCATTTACTACACATAGGATATCAAGAGTATGTGCTTTAGCCTAACCACTCCTAATAAAACATTGTTATTTTCTGTTAAGAGCACGATTGATGCTGAGAACTCAAGAGATTTTGTAGGAAATGTCACAGTTAGGTGGCACACACCTATACATAGATAGTTTTTAAGCTATTGGCCGCAACAAAATAAACTTCTAAGTATGAGTCTTACCTTGCATTATCGTATGTTTAAGTAAGATCGGTATGAGATTACAGAATTCCACCATGTAATCAATGACCTACAAAAAGCCCTTTTCCACTGCTTCCTTCTCACATCAACAAAACAGAGGAAGCTTTGTCTGTAAACGACTTCAGGTTTTCCCTCTTTACCTCGAAGGAATGCAGTATACAGAAAAATGCTAAGCTGGTCTTTTTAACCTTTAACTACAATGCAGGACTGCTATCGCAAGAAGTAAACCATTCCTACATTATTTCTTAACAAATAAGCTTTCTAAAGGCTGTTTTTCTTTGCTTCTAGTGGACTCCCCATGGTGTTGTGGGAATGTGAAAACCTCCCAGATCTCCATTCCCCTGCTGCACTATAGCTTCCCAAAAAGAAAGGCAAGTTATTAAGTCACACAGAGACCATCTTAGAAACAAAATTTTCCAGCTACACAGGGGGACAACAAATGAACTGGTGAGGTAAGAGAGCACTAATTACTAGAGGCAGGAAAACACAGATGCAGCCCATTCCCATTCTCCTGGCTGAAGCTGGGAACCTGAGAAGCCGGACAAGGACTCCGAAATCTTCACAAAACTGTGTGGATCAGCGGTTTCTGTTCCCTGAAAGCTGCCAAGCCCTGCTCCTGCTGCTCAAGCACTATCCAGCCTCCAAAGAGCAGCACGTTTCTCAAGCACATGACTGTTCTTGTTCCTCTCATTTTTCACAAAACTTTTAATTTGTGTTGTTGTTGTTTTTTCCTAGCACAGTCGTAGCTGTTTTCTTTTGTTATTTTCCCCTTCAATTTCTGTCAGTTCAGCTCAGTCACAATTTTTTATATTTGACAAAAAAACCTGTGAAAAGGTGTAAGTCTACAAACTTTGCATAGAGCTTGAGGAGAAATGATACCAAAAGAGATATCCCCATGCATCCAAATCACGAGATGGATGTTCTTCTTACAGTCACAAAACTGAGCAGCCACAGTTACACTGGCTACGCAAGCAGTAGCGAAAATTCAGGACATTCATATCCTTATCTACACAACCTGAAATAACATTTACTTCTCATTCTATGCCATCAGTCTATACAGACCAGAAGGGTGGCCCAAAAGAAACTGTGTATTTGAAAATACACACTTAGCTTCTAGACAGGCACACTGTATTTTAGTGAAGTTAGGATAATTACTGGTAATGAAGATAAAAATAGCAACATCAGGTGGAATTTCCTTTACTATTATAAATCAGTGTTTCTGTAAAAATTCCACAGCAGTGAAACTGAAAACAAAATTTGAGTATAACATTTAATCAATACTATTAATGCCAGTTTCTCATGTTTATTCCCACAGTATTATAAGACTTAATGACATTTATTATCCTAATATTGCTAGCTTTCACCTTTTAGAAATCAAATACCTGATCTCTGGCAAAATATAATTTCAGTTCATATAACTTAACCACAGCTGTAATACTTACTCAAATTCTTTTCTCAATTTTTTTTTTTTTTTTAAATACATCAAACTGAAAAACAGGCTTCAAAGAAACACTTTTTTACTTAGAATATCTCAGTTGCCAAAATGATCTTCTGAATTCCTTATTTTTGAACTGCTATCCTACAACTTAGTTCTAACATTATCACTCTTGCAGGAACACCGATCTCCTTTAAGTAACATTGTATTTTTTTGTGCAAATTGAATAAATTCTCAGCTCTTAACATTAAAAAGTCTGAACAAAATTTAATTAGAACAACCTCTAACTGTGAAAGTGCTTAACAAAGTCTGATTTGTCTTTGATAGCTCCCCTTTATAGACAAATGATCAGCTAAGAAGTCAAAAGACAGTTCTGAAAAACTGAAGAACAAGAAAGCACAAACTTAAATCTTACAACAAAGTTCTTTCAAAGACCTCTGAGATCAGTAAGTTAATAATTCTTCTGGTTCCTTAAAGATTTCAGGCTAGAAATTATTTTGTCTAAGTTTCTTTAATTTTCTTTGTAGCATGCGCCCATGTGCAAGGCTTGTTCTTGACCTCTTCTCTTTAGTTTAAATTCTTGAGTTATGGCCAAAGCCCTTGGAAGTTTATAGTTCTACCTCTGGTTTGTAGCTTCACCAAGCAAAAAAAACCAACAGCAGCACCACATAAGGGAGTAACAGAAAATTTCAGTATTTCCAAAGTTTGTGTCTCCTGAATAGCAGTACATCAAATAATGAGCACAACTGGAAAAACAAAATATTTTCTAAATAGCTTTTAAATCACAGATCATATTCGTAATTTTGGGCCTGATTTACCACTATTTCACTGTTGTTTTATATGAATCTAATTCTATCAGAAGCACCACATGCACATTCTACTAAAATGAATTTCTACAGAACAGAATATGGAGTAACTGTAGATCTAATGATATCAATATGCATTAGTGGGAGGAAAGAAAATGGGACTATGCATTTATGTTAACATGACATGGACATAAAAAATAAAGCAAATCAAAATGGAACAGAATGAACTAACGTATTTAAGGAATGTGTAATGGAAGCTTACAAAAAGGAGAGAAATATAATTTCAGTTTTACTCCTCAGTAATGAACCTGATTCTGTAGTGTGTTACTCCAGGGTTTAGGTCAAGGGAAACACATTCTGCTCTACCAATTTATAGTACAGTTTAAGTCACTACTTCCTTTTTAACCCCTCTTCATCCCACTGTCATGCACCATTCGGTCTATAAGGACTTTTTCCACCAAATCAAGTCTATTATACTGTTTTCCACTGACTTTTTAACAAGACTAATAATACTGAATTAGGATGTTCGGAAATCCATTTTCTTCAATTAAGAAATTAGGTACATTTTGCTCTTCAACTTTCTATGCTTCATTATATTAACTTACCATATTATTTGTTTATTACATTATTATAGCATTGGATTTATTTTTAAAAGGTTTTAATTAGTGTGCATAAGTCACTGGACACCATCTATCTGGAAACAGAGCAGATGGAACAAAGACAGAAAAAGAAGGTTGAAAGATAGGTAGAAACTTAAAGCTCCCTCCAATAACTTGCTGCAACATGTCCCTGACCTATGTGTCAGAATTTCCACCTTTTCTGGTGAAATTTCACATTTTCTAGATGCAAATTCTACATAATCAGAATAGAAGAGAAAAACATCAGTTTTAGCCATTGTTAATATGTTAAAAATTGTTATTAAAGCCTGCAAAGGAAATGGCACTGGACCACAGCCATAAATTATGAATCAAAAAGCACTCATAAGAACTCTACCGTATGTACCCTTTTAATTGAATCCAACTGCAACAGAAATTTTAGAAACAAAATGTATCTGTTAGAAAGTTAATAAATTAATTATCTTTTTAAAATTACCTGCGTTTCTTTCTTATTTGTTCCATCTTCTGAATCGGACTGGTGTTCCTGTTCATTTTCATCACTCTGGTGAAAGAGGTGGGAGAGGAAAAATAATTAAACTGTTGAAAGCTTACTGAGATTTTAAGGCATTCTACACTTTTAATATGATAACTTAATAACTTTCAGTTTTAAGTACATAGCTACTTCCAATGTGCCAGATAATGAGAGACTCATTCTTACAGCTTTGGTATATATGCAACAGAAAAGAATTGTTCAGTGATTATTTTCTCCTTAAGATTATGATTAATTCCTATTAAGTACGGTTATTACAGTATTCCAGAATTCTTTTCAGCATTATCAACATAACTTAAGACTTAATTTTGATTTTGCTCCTGAAAGCTTCAAAATAGAGAAACAGAGAGAATACATAACTTGAACAATCATCAGTTTTTCCAGAACAATTAGTTATACACTGTATTACTCTCAACTATTCTCTATTTTAAAAAATATACTATACACATTCCATAGTGCTACAAGCTATAAAACATCAGTAGCAGTCGTTTACTTACATCTTGAGTCCAAAAAGAAACTCCTGTAGATCGTCGTTTTTCTCTTGGCCGCCGCCTTTCTCTTATAGACTTCGGCTGTGACTTATCTTCTTCCTTTTCCTCCTCTCTTCTGCCCGCTTCTGTTAATAACAACTTTCTTATTCATTTAAGTGTAACACAATCTAATTTTATGAAAATTTTCTGAAATAATTCTCAATCTTTAAAATGCTTGCAATTATTTTTTTACCTAAAATAAATTCACTAAAGAGCTTCTTACCACATACAGGATTTGCTGTAATACACATTCCTCAGAATATAGCTCGAAATTACTGTATTGTTCCAATTCTTGAACAGCAACTGCAAAATACTAATTCCATCTCAGCCACCTAAACAAAATGTCTCAATGTAACAGTAATACACTACAAATTTGACTTAAAATTCCATTTTCAAAACTGTCATGTAATAATTCAAACATCTGTGTCAGTAGACATATGAAAGTACAAAATAAGAGAAGATAATTCTTCACCAAACAAGGTTTTTTTGCTTACATCAAGAATTTGATATTTTAAAAACCCCCAAACTTTTAAAAGTCTGTTAAGTCTCCTTAGAGTCCCCTTTTTCATCACAGTCCTCTCCATTTTTGCTCTAAGGAAGAATAAAATGGGACCTCCTAGATTACAATAATATTATATTAAAGATTTCCTTTTTCTTTAAAAGAAATGCAGTTGCCATTCAAGACCAACATACTATCTCAGGATTGTGTTTATTCCCCTATATGTTTACGAGTAATTTATAAAAGAATTAAAATTAAACAAATCTGCCTAAACCAAAGTTATTTACATTTTATCATGCAGTTTATTCAGTCTGCTGCTCTTTTATTAAAGAAAGAAATCACAGATTTGAGTTCATATAGAAGCATCACTTGTAACTTAACTTTACCATCATTAGTCTTCAAAAGGAAATAAGCATTTTAGTGTGAAACCAGAATTAAACAGAAAAGAGGCAAATACAAATATTCATGGTGAACATGTATCTTTCCTAATTAAATAAATGACGATTCTGCCACTGGACTTTCAGATGGTAATGGATTTCTCCTCCTAAAGTCATAATTTGAACACCTCCACCCCATCCCCCTCCTCGCTGTATTAATATTACCCATGAAAATCTTTTCCACAGAACAGTCTCGAAAGAGTTTCCTAGAGCAAGCATCTGAAGAATCTAAATCCAAATTTCAGTTCATGTAAGGACAAGGGGGAGAAAAACCCAAAAAGCATAACCCTAAACCTTAGCCCAATTAACTTCTTTTGAAAATACCAGTCTAGGTAACATGGCAATACTGCTATAGTTCATGGAGATTTGATCAATGGATCAAATGGATCTGTATAATGAAATTATCAATTTCAATCAGTAATCCTGTTTAAGTTACTGATCAATAACCTGAATTAAAGTATTTCTTCCAAGTCAACCATGGCATGCCTCAGAGAGAACAGGACATCACACTGTATGTCAACAGTCTCCTCCTTTGATAGGCAACTAACCAGGCACAACATCTCTGAGAATTACAGCGGGTGATTCACATTTGAAATAAGGGCAAAAACTCTGTGACATCAGAGAAAAGCTTTTTTCTGACTTCTGGAATCACACATCTGGTCCTCAGCTTAAGATTACACAAATCAATTAAGTATCTAGAAGTATGTTTCCACTAAATATTCTGAACTACCACTGTAAATATCCCCTTCCCTTTTTTTCAGCTGCTCATGAAACCCTGAGAGGTCCTTAAAGCATTAAAGCATTGCTCCAATCCTTCACTGTGGAAGGACTGAAACAAAACCCCAGTTATTTTTAGCAGTTATTTAATGAAGTAAAATTCCTCCTCAATACCTGCAAGTATTTAAACTCTGAAATGTGGTATTTTATTATAGTTCCTGTGTTAAAGCAGAAATGAAAGCATTATGTGGATACTGATGGCAATATATTTGACATTCCTATGACCCACCAATGGAAAACACAGATTCACATATTAAACAGCTGCGAAACACCACCAAGTACAGAAAATCTTTTTTCCTCTCTATACGTAAGTTTTGGAATTACAGAAGATAAGAGTAAGATACATCCCCAGTGGTTTTACATATTGCACCCCATTTTGAACTACCTTTAGAACTAAAACAAACAAAAAAACCCCCTTCACAAACAGTACTCCTACCTCTCTCACCTTCCTTTGTTCCACTCCGAGAATAGGCAGAAGTTATACCTATAAGGCTGTTTGGTCTGTTTAGCTGACTTGAAGTTGAAAGAGAACTAGTGGAGGTGGAGAGCGAAGAGGTGGATGACGTAGAAGCTGAAGTTGAAGTTGGTCTATAGCGATGATATGGCTATTCAGCAGAAAAATGTTAGAATTAATTTACCAAGATTAAACAAATATAAGCCACAGGATATGAAAACATTTAAATATATACATAATTCTTATAGTAGCACAAAAATTAAAATATTATATTTGGAGTTAAGATTCATATAATTTCTCTACCTAAAGAGACCCATCATGAAAATACCTCTTCAACAGTTCGGGAATATCTTTGTCTATAATCATCATCTTTAGTTTCAGATTCTTTCTTTTCTTCTTGTTTTTCTTTGTCTTGCTTTTCTTTCTCTTCTTTTTCTTTCTCTTCATTTTCCTGTTCTCTGGTTCGTGTGGGACGACTTCTTCCTATAGTTTTTTCAGCTTCTTGAAGATCTGTCAGTGTTACACCCTGTGAAAACAGCAGTCAGCAAACAGTGTTTCAATATATCACTTGTATTAATGTAATCACATTATATAAATACATAATTTAAAGACAAAATTCAGCTTAAGAAAATTAACTCTACTTATTAAGAAATAAATTTCACCTTTATCTTCTACCTATAAGCTTTTCTCTCACATCCTGGAAACAAACAATCCTCTTTGATTAGTGACAACTGTTTGCTGTAAGGTAATCTACCACAGATTCTCTAGCAATATGATTTTTAGCTGAACTAGTACATACAGATCACACAGAAAATCATATAGAAATCATTTAAGAACCCACTGGATCCTTCCAATATCATCATAAGTATGCTAAACATATTTGAAAAAACCCTAAAAATACAATAATTACCAAATTTTCAATAATGTTGATACTCTACAAATTCACTCAACTGCAACTGGATTTTTAAGTCAACAACACATAAAAAATTGCATTGCTAGCACCAGAGAAAGTTGCAACTTATTTCTTATTTCCTTGTTATTCTGAGGCTAAAAAACTAGTTTTGAAATAAGCTCAGAAAGCAAAACAGTTTTTGAAGACAGCTTTTCTCTACTGTACTTTTCAGCTGATGCATCTTACTGAGATACTGTTCAAAGTAAGATTCTTCAAAGCCAACTCTGTACTTGATAATTGCTTTTTGCATTGATTATGTTTTAATACAGTAATTCCTGGTAGTAAAGATTCAACAATAGTTGGCCTGTGACAGGTTTGACCATCCCTCAGGGCTCTGAATTAGTATCAAGAGGTGAAAAGAACTCCAGTACAACAAAGTTGTATCAAGCAGTGTGGATCTCTCAACAGGAAAGGTAATCAGAAATATCTGAGGGGTTTAAAACTGCAAAAATTTGAAACCACAATGTAGATAGAGACTTGGTCTTTTAAAGCAGATAAGGTGGATGGCTAGAGTACTTCTTTGTGCTATTTTATCCAGGGACTATTTGCTGATTTTTCTCAGTTTGTCAGCAGACACAAGAAGAGATGGGTAGACACACTCCAGAGGATAGTAGTTGGTAATTGCTTCACTGCCCAAAAAGCATTCAAGTAACGTTTGGAGATAATCCATTTCGCTACTGTCACATCCTTCCCTGTGTTAGGACTGCACTGGCTGCAATTCAGTATGAGGTAGTTCTGACAGAAATTGGGAAGAACCACCCAATATATCAGTATGTAAACTAAGAGAGAGCAGTGCTGAAAGGAGACATGCAGTCAGATTCTAGATTATTTGCAAGCAACAAAAAAATCCTTCCTTAGTACTTTTCTGCGTCCACAGAACCTAGGTTGAATGTATTTTTTTCTATGCTATAGATCTTATTGGCTATCCATATGCTGGTCAGCTCAACACATTATCTTCAACAATCCAGGCACAGAAAAAAGACTTAGAAATGGAAGTAAATACAGTACACTATGCCTATTTCTCAAGTATTACATCTTCAGCCAGAAGCATATAGCTGTTAGTTCTTGAAGAATTCAAAGTCTTAAACAACTACATAACACTGGATACAGTTACTTGAGTAAGCCATTTTACCATAATGCAATCAAAAACTTCCTTTCAGTGGAAGCATCTGTGCTTTCAAATTTGTATTATCACTCTTTAGTAATTAGAAAAAACAACTTCCAGTACACAGTGAAGGATCCTAAAGCTTTCAGGCAATACAGGGGAAAAAAAGAGACTTTATTTAATCTGGTAGAAGTTGTTTTATACCAGGAAGACCCATTGGTTTATTTGGAGCTTTACTGGGAAATTAGAAGTTCACTATACTCGGGGAGCTACATGGGTGCTCTTCCATAATTGTAGAAGCTGTAATAAAAGTATACCTGCGTAGATCTTCTAGACTGTCTTGCTTGCCTGGATCTAGCTTTTCTTTGGGACTCTGACTCTTCATCCCGTACTGGAGTGAGGTATGATCTAAAGAGTTAAATTACAAACAAAATTGGCAAATGGTAAGTTCTGTACAAATGCATTAAACTGTCAGAAAAACCCCCTCAATACAATGCGACTGAAAACTGAAGCAGTTAGAAAAAAACCATTAACTACATAAGATGGATTACATTTTGTACATTTCATCCATACCATAACGATCTATTCATCAAGATAGCAGCCTTGCAACTCAAGTAAAATTCATAGTGTTTTCCTACTTAATTTAGATTTATTTTTACCATTTTCTCTAAACACAACATAAGGTTTTTTGGTAATTCACAAGTCTACTAACATAGGGGTAACAAAACTCAACGATTCAGCCAGTTACACATTTATACACAAAATACATGTGTGTTTGTGTGTGTGCCTATTAACTTTTGACATTACTTGTAGGCTTGTAGAAAAAGCTAAATGTACTACTAATGCAGAAAAACCTAATTATATTATCTATTGCACCACAGATTAAAAATTCTTGGGGAGGTGGTTACCATATTTTCACATGAATCATCCAATCTTTGAGTAATCCAACTCCCTTTGAAAAAACTGTACTTAAAAATAAATCCTCATGAAACCCACAAAAATCCTGCAGCGTAAGCAGGTAACTCAAGGCCAGAAGGCTCCTAAAGCAGACATACAAGATCTGGACTCTTTAAGGAAATTCTCCAACCCAGGCAACTGGGGTAAAAAACATATACATGCATAAATATATACATTGGTATGCATGTTATATATGTATGCATGTATGTAAAACCATAATTAAATAACTCAAAAGTTTTTAATGCATTTGTTGATTTTCTATTACAGAATATTCTCAGAATACTGTTATAATTTAACATTTTTTTTAAAATCCTCAGATTAGCTGAAAATTAAAAAAAAATTGGAAAAAAACCCCCAAATCAGAAGATTGCTAGAAGGTTCCTTAAAACACAAAAGCTCTTTGAGCTTCTTTAGGTCATAAAATTAAAAATAGAGTAAAATTCTATAATATTTTCTAATCATCTGTATTTTTAAAATTTCATTAGTTAAGAATAATTGGCTAATGACTCTGGTATTTTACGTTTCAGAAGCCATCATCTATTAACACTTAATTCAGACATTCAGAAAAAGCATTTCTTCAGTCACCTAATTCCATGTTTGACAGCCTAGCACACACTAAAAACAGTTCTAAAAAAATTACAAGATTTAGAAATAAACTTCAATTACACAGACTATGGTTTACCATCCATGTTCTATCTCTGCTAACCAAATTACCCTCAAAATACAGGAAAACATTTATAATTAGCTGTTACATTTACAAATGTAGAAACACCCCCTATCATAGAATCATAAAATGGTTTGGGTTG